ACCTTCTCTGTCCTCTTCGAAATAATCATCAAATAATTTCTGTTGAAGAGTAAAAATTATGAAACTGAGATGTTAATATCACAGTCAATCCCTATAAAAGATCGGTGTTTTTACATTTGCGGGAAATCGAAGTGTATTTAGGCTACAAATTTTTTCGATGTGGGAACATTGTAACGTGCTACTGACAATAATATTTCTTAACGCAGTAAATTTCATCACTGTAGCTGTATCAAATCACCATCATTCAATTCTCCTGGAGGGTTTGAAGAAAATCACAAAAGTTTAGAATAGTGGATATAACGACCCAGATTCGAACCTGAATAAGAGCTACTTAATATTATCCTCCCATCTATCTCCACAGAGTTATGTTTCCTTCAGAATTATAGCCTGAAGTTTCGTATTCATGCCCTACACATCCATTCTCCTTGATTTGATCAAACAATGTTTGGTGGAGTACGAAGTTTCGTATTCATGCCCTACACATCCCATTCTCCTTGATTTGATCACCCTATAACAATGTTTGGTGGAGTACATATTATAAAGATACTCTTCACATTAAGAATAAAATGTCAGATACATTAGTTTTGCTTCGGACACTCAATCTACAGCAGACGGAACATACCAAACATTGCAATAGTACGCAATAGATCATACGATGCTATCAAGACGAACGCTTCCAAACAGACGCACAATGGCACTGGTTTATTAAACAATGACTTTATACCCTTTAATTAGGTTTGGTTTCTATATCTTCGTGAGTTAGGTATATAATTGCCAATCAGGGAGATATATACATATAAAAATGAATAGGCCTATTTGTGTAAAAGGAAGTTTGTTATATACCAAAAACTTGTAGGATTTGAGGTTTTCACAGCGGTGAGTATGAAGATTGCAGTCTTCTGAGTTGTTGTGCAGTTTAGTCTTGATGAGAAGGTAGCATGACCTCTGAAACGTCGGTGGAAATCAACCAGACTACACGGCGCAACAACCCAGAAGACTGCAATCTACCAAAAAGATGTTAAAGACAAAATCAATACTAAGGAGATAATTTGAAATTCAAACCTTCTTTCTTAATACGAGCCCTTTGTTTATATGTTTGGTAATTACATCATGCTAAAATCACGTGAACAGAACCAGTAGGTATACAAGGAAATGTGTAAGATTCTCAAGAAACTCTCCTTTGTTGACACAAATCACAAAAGTCATCCTAAATTCTACTCCAAAATGTTTCTTTTAGAAATATTGACGTAGAGGTAGATTATAGCTTAAACAATCCAGGAAATGTACGCATAATATAACAATTCTGGTACTTTCGTCCTGGTATTTTCTCTATAGTTTTAATTCCGTGTGTTCCATAATGTTTATGTCTTTATTTTATATGCAGTACTTTTGTACGTAGCTACGGGCTGGGCGCTCGGGATTCGATCCCCGAAGGGGGCAGATGATTTTTCCTCTAGCCTCTGCGTCCAGACCGGCTCTAGGGCCCACCCAGCCTCCTCTCCAATGGGTACCGGGGTCGTTTCCCGGGGGTAAAGCGCGGCCGAGGCGTGATACTGACCACTCACCCCCATCTGGTGCCGAGGTCAAGAAAGAGTAGGAGGTATACCCCCTCTCCCCCCAAGTGCCTGCATAGGCATGTAGCGGGACTTACTTTTGTACGTAAAGCCATTCATTGACACATTTGTGCACACGAAGTTTGCAAACATACTTTTGATTCAACATGTATATATGCTTGCGAAATTTGATGCAATCCAGTGATCGATAATTTGCGTAACCTTGTCAATAAATCCGTCACACACTTATGAAGATTTATTTGCACGTGATTTATTTTCAAGGTCTTTATACATACTTTGGGCATTTCTACGGAACAACCAGCATTAAGAATACAGTATGTCGTCTTATGGACACTTACTTCAATAGTCTCGACTTTATTAAAGTCAACATTTTCATTTTTATGTTTTCTAAACTTGGAAATAAATATAATTTACATTTATTCTATATGATAGTAGTGAAAGTTATTCATAGTTTACTTGTTTGGGAGAAAGTAGAATATTTCGTTCTAATAAAATATGCATTAACGCTTTTCTCTTTTGAAAACCATTTCCCAGTTTATCGAAGGTCGAAGTCCCACTTCATTGCCCCATCTTCTCATACAATCTACAAATTAACCAACTAAATCCATAGAACAGAATCCTTCTTGAGAAGCTAACAGTACACTCAGCTAGTCAAGAAATTCCCAACCTATTATAGAACCTCACAACAGCCCACAAACATTTCCTACCTTTGACTACAAGATAAGAGAAGTTTATTTTAAAAGTGACTGCATCTGTAATGTACTTTGGAGGACTGCATTACCTTAGCATATGCTACAATGTTGTTGTTACGTTATGAATAGTTTATCATTAATTGAGGACAGGCACAAACACAATTGCCACTTGTTAACAACCGAGTGTAAAAACTGAATGTGTCCTTTTATGTGCAGAGCAAATATCCACAACAGGAGAAAATACTTAAAGCAAGAAAACAACAAAACATATAAAATTTTATTTAGTAATTCATTACTTTTTTCTGCTAAAATAAGCTTAACTTCTCCCAAATAAAAACAGGTTTTGGAATTAGGCACATTTTAAGATGTGACTAGTCGCGTAAAAATCCGATGAAAATTAAATTTTGTCCCATTTCATAATTTACCAAAGCTTTACAAGTACTAACTGCTCGTAATATGTATTACCAACCTAACAGAAATCAAAATTGTCAATTTGTTAGAACGAAGATGCCGATAGCAAAGCCCACAGAACGTCTGAACCATCCAAGCTTGGTGATTCAAAAATGATGTTTCAATGCATTTAGTAAATGGAGAATGATCACGTGTAATTACCTTCTAAATAATGTTAAATTGAAATGAAGTTTTTTACAAAAGCTTTTAAACAGTGCAATAGCACCTGCTAAATAAGATTCCCATGTAACATTTTTTCGTAAATAATGATTCGAGCACTTAGATGTACGGATATTATAAGGCATATATTATTACAGCTATATTATTATACTACTAACACTTGTAATCCAGATGATTTCTGATATAATAGGAACAAGAACCAAATTAAAGTTCTTATTTTAACACACTCATATATCAAGATAATCTGAAAATCACAAGAAATAAAGTATTTCTTGTTGAGTAATGAGACATGTTTCAACAAATTATATCATACCACAAAGGTACCATAAACCATTCAAATCAGTGACACAGTGGCAAGGCAACATTTAAAGTTGCTTCGGTGGCAAAAGTAAAGAATAAATTTACATTTTTCTATGGCTGAAAATATAATTTATCCCTTCAGACACAAATCATAAAATAAGTCTGAATTATTCTACTCATATAACAATTTAATTGAACATGATAATGAACCTTTTTCTGGACAGTAACTCCCATTGTGTTATAGAAAGTTTTAGAACTTAATTCAAGTTTGAAACATCTGAACTGCATACTGGATGGACAAAGACTGAAATAAATTAATAATTTTCTAAATACATTAATAGAATCAAACATATTCCAGATATAAAAAGAGATATTCATATTTAGACTGACACAGTAAAACATTTACCTATTACAAAATACACATACCTATAACTATTCTATATAATTTCATTGTTTAACCATACTGTAACAAAGTATTTATTTTCCAGTTCACAGAGGCATTTATGGGCCTTGTCCAGTGTAAGAGGAGATACAAAGGGAAGGAAGATAGCAAAATGGGTGGAAAGTGAAACAAGTTCCAATGTTGGTGGCAGTGGCAGAGCAGCTACAAATCTGATAGAAAACATTAACCATTATTTACCATGAGATATGGCCTGAACAAAGTATTATGCAGGATTTCATTGTTATCCAGTAGACTTTTCAATGTAAATTAATTACAGGTAGCCATCGATTTATGCTGGGGATGTGTTCCTGGACTAACCGGCGTAAATTCGAACGATTTTATAATGTAAATCAATGGGAAGTCAATGACATGCGTTCCCAGTGTCCAAACATTGATGAGTAATATGACATTTCATTTAAAGCTCTGAAATAACTTAAATAAAATAAAGGGAATTTTAAAAATATATTTTATACACTTACAATTGGCGATGGCGTGATGACGCGGCGTTAGTTCTCTGACGAAGTCCCTGGTTGAGGATCGTCATGTTTTTTAAAGAAGACATGTAGTGTGGACTGTCATTTCTTCTTTCTTCCTTTCAAAATTTCGCGATAAATCCTCATGGATGCCATAACGCTCCTCTTCGCTGTAGCACAAGAGCAAACTCGCACATGCAAAAGAAAGTTTACATTTCACAAGCAGCCTTTATCGATTCATCGGAGCAAATTCGCGTTAACGAAACATACGTAATTGCAGAGATGACTGTATAATTTTTATTCAAAATCAGCGATGTAAGAAATACGATTTACTATAAGCAGCAGTACGAGAAACATTGTAAAACGTAATTTTATTCATCTACATATCTTTACAGATAAGTGATAATTTATCTTCTGTATCTAATGGGTTGATTTATTTGTAACTTATCATTACTTTAGGTGAACTCTTTGTTTGCATTATGTGAAATTTATATATTAGTGTGAATTGTACTTCATATGTATTATAGTAATGACATTTTCCACATCCTATTATCATCTATCTTACAGACCCATGGAATGTAATATGGATGGATGGATTGATAGATATGTGTGACAGTGTAAACTCATAGACAAATACCAGTTTCAGAGAAATATACTGTCTCCATCCTCAAGGCTGAGGTGGTTCATACCTATCTACATGGTGTCATAACCCACATCATCATCTTCAAATCTAGCATATGATTCAAAGTCTGGACCTAGAAAAAGATGGTTCAGGGAATTTTTAAAATAAAAAACACAAGCAAATGAACAGAACTGCTTGCATGGAAAAACATATCTTCACATTAAATAAAGCAAATTGTCAGCGATTAAATAATCAACCATAGCCATATTTACAATATTCACTTCAATTTTTATGGATGTTAATAGTTTTTATTACTCACATGCAGAACTTATGATCTTACAACACACATTTTGTCAAATTCTTTCTCTGATTCATTAGGATAACAAGATTAAGACATGCACATTAAAGTGTTTTAACTCAACAAATTATTGTCACCACTGTTATTAAGGACCAATAGAAGTCCAAGGACAGCACATTAGTTATCCAATAATTTTCTTTAAAATGATGTTGATGCAACTCTACCTTACATAAAACAGTATTATGTAAAACAATGCTGATCAAAACATTAGGACCACAAAAATAATGTGATTACAAATATGAAGAAAATTATATAAATATTACAAATATCTCAATCATATTTCTACATCTAATGACTCAGTTTTATGGAAAACTGAATGAAAACACGAGGTCATTTATAAAAATGTCAACACTTTTATATATTTATTTTGAACTGCAGTAGACCATCAACACAGCTGCTACATTAAAGTAGCAACAATGAAATAACTTTGCTGACTGAATTAAAATCTTCCAGTCACCAGAATCATACCACTCCAGAATATTTTTAATATTAAACTGTCTTGTAGAAGAAAATTTTTAGTATTTAAGACAAGTTTGTGCACACTGGGTCTACTGCTGACAATTACAAAGTTACTCAATGCCGAGTTCCACAGAGCTGCATGAACCAAGGCAACAATCATGTAAGTGTAATTTAATACAAATTCCTAAAATATCCACAACCAAGCATTCCATCAAAAGTTAACTCACACCATCCACTTTTTGGGGGATATTAACTAAAAATCCAAGTATTCATCCACATCATATACATATAGTACAAGCATAATCCAACTGTGATATGCAGTACCATGATAAGTGTAGTAATACGCTGCTAGCGATAAAAGCCAATGAACATGAACAGTCATTATTAATTATATTCAGTGATGAAGCAGCCAGTGAATGGTCAAGTAAACTGACAATTATTTATTGTTTCCATTTTTTAAAAGTTTACGAGTCACAGATGAATATGAAAGGGATTTGGGAAGTGTAAACACGTAGTGTGCAATCACACCTACTAGCATACTTGGTCTGCATTTCTTCTCCATTAAAAATATCAAGAGCAAGGACCATGTTTATGTTAAGAGAATATATTGACATACTACACCAGACACGCTGGATAATTCGAACAAGATGGCAGAGCATCACGTTATCCCCTCAACGAACCCCTTTCTTAAAAGAGACTGGTCATGGTTCCATTTCACTGGCCAGCATCACCTAAATTCATCCTCTGTGGAAAATGGCCAAGAAAAGCACATATGCGGCTAAAGATGTTGATAGTATTCATATAAGAAACCACCATGTTCAAGAAAAAAAATTCCACACGGGATATGTGAGTAGGAACGTAAGGAATTTTAATGCATGTACTTCTTTGTGAACAGTATGGTAATAATAAGAAAATTAAGAAATATTAAATTATTATACTGAATATTCACTTATACCCTACATAAGAGTTACCTGTCATAAAAACCAAGTCTCATTCACCAAAAATGTCTATGGAGACAACAGTGAAACAGAAGCATTGTTACTTGCCAGGACAAGCTAAACTCCATGATTAGCTGCGTACTCATCCTAAAGTACCAACATTTGAGATGTTGAATTGCGCTGATGTAATGACGACTGATGTATCACAACCAGGGAGCTGACACTACTACTGGCAACTATAAATAATTAACATAAATCAATGCTTGGATTTTTTAAGGTTCAACAGCTAATGCCCAAAAACAAATTCAGCACGAGAAAATCTGTTTGCAGCTGATAACACTACAAGGCAGAAGAAGCCTAAATCTTCAAAGAATAAATTTAAGGAAATTCCTTCACATATTAAAGAGTGACACAGCAAAAACACTCCAGAAGCATTTTCAGCATATTAAACCTTACATAAATGTAGCACATGTCCTATTTCTCTGCAGCAATGCACATACTTATATAACGACCAAGTAAACAATCACGAAACTTTAATGTACGAAGGTGCTCCATCCAGCAAACAGCTTAAAACCCGTACCTTCAAACCTTCACATTTGCAGGTGCCTGAAATATGTCAACTGTGGCACAATTTTTAAGGATGATAATGTGATGATTCAAAGGATGAAGTGCCTTCATGAGGCAGGAAAGAACAAATACAAGTAAAGAAACACATGCCAGTATCCTGCAAGTGTGAGGCCACTGGGCTGGACAGATTACGTGGGTAAATATTGTGTGTAGTTAATACACCCAGTCACATTTCATGAAAATTTCCCGCGTCTTAGAAAAAATTTTGATTCTAGAAATGAAGAAAAAATAATGCATCACTTTCTGGGAAGCCCAGAAAAAAGGGACTTAGACAGAAATGTAGAAATTTCCTGTTTTGTCACATACATCATCTTCAGCAAAGTAACAAATAAATTAAAAACAAATTTACATCATGTAAGCACTAGTGACACAGATACAAGGCATAACATCAAATTTGACTTGTCTTTCTTCTGCCAGAACAACCTACAACCACTGAAGGTGTAAGATCATAAGACTGGCGAGTAAATATGTGAGATTCCTCTTAGAGGGGGGAATAGGTTGGATTTCAACAGCAAACCGAGAACTTTACATGATGGAAATGCAGCAGTAAGATTATTTACATGGGATCACTGGAATTGGGTTATAAATGCGAAACATACGACATAGGGTTTCCATTGTACTGTACACATTGAAACAATTGATATGTTTCTGTATGGACTAGGAGTAGTTGGCACAAGTCAAACTTAACTAAAACTTTTATGCTTAAGAATGCTTAGCTTTCCATCAGATTAAATAAACAGTAAAGAGGTGTCAAATTGATTTGCTGATGTTTCCTTCAACATCAAATCTGTGGGCACTGCTAAATTATTTCAAAGCAGACTTTTAAAATACCTTCAGATGTCAATTTTTGGAACTAATTTTTTTTACTGAATCTGATTAAGGAGACCGAACATCCAAGACTTCACTGTCTGCTGCTTTCATAATTCTGATCTTCTTTCACATTGATCTACAGGTATGGTTTTCCAATATATCAGCTGTCTGTTTATGGTTGCTTGTCTGGGGTATTACACAGAGCACTGACAACATATTTCAGATTATAACACTCTAAAACACTTAAAAACCAATAAATCTAAGTTCTATTATGTAGAAGCACTGCCTGCAGTACATTAAACTCTTTAAACTTATATATGCACATATAATACCATTAAAAACTTCCAAACCATCTTGTAGCTATGTCTTAAATACAATGACAAATTCCAGGTTTCATCTTTCCTGGAAGCAAATAGTTTATACAGATAAATCCAAAGAACAAGAGAGATGCCTTGAACACCACAAAACTGTAACTTTATCTGTTACATCCAGAAATAAAAGACTATATCCTCAGAAGAACATCATCCCCCAATTCAGAACATGGAGTGCATTAATTATCACTACAGTAAATGTAAAATAATCTGATAGAGAACTGTAATTGCCAATTTCTGTGTGTATGCAAGTTTAACAATCACATCAATCAACATGCAGAAACCTGAAATTTCAGTGTATTTTCAACAGCCTACAGCATTTTTCTAAAAGAATTAAACTTCTGATAATTCAACTGGATTTTTGAAACCAGACTATCAAAAAACATTTAAGTAACAAACTGACAAATGCTACATTCCCTATCACTGAAGTTTCTGTATGCAATTACTTTGCTTAAAAAGTGCTTTACCATAATGACTGAAACCCTAACATACTCTGATGGCCATAGGACTTCCATCCATTCAGGTGGGCTACTCTGGCTGTTTTGAAATATCACGCGTTGAGAATCATTCTCCTTCTGACAATACCAATACACAAGTTTTCTGATAATTTTTAAATATTTTCTAATTATTCACATTTTAAAAACGTTGAACAGACAAAATCAAACAGTATGCAAATGGTGAGATTTTAGGTTGTCATGGCAAAGAGTATGAAGATGGCTACTGGGATGTAGCATTGGTAGATACTGACAGGAACTTACTGCCAACTTGGTGTGACATCCCAAAAGACAGCCATTTTCAGTACACAAATGGGTTAATGGAAGTAGATTACCATATCACTTTCTCATGAATTAATAATGTATTTACATAATTTTTTTAAAATATTTATAAATATTACGAAAGGAGGAAGCACATTTAGTCCTCAAGACTGAGCCTTAGTTTAAATCTCAAGGAACATTATGACTTCTATCCAAATTCCCAATGGCCCAGCCATAACTTGACTACTAAGTATCACAACTCTAAATGTCTAAAATCAATCTCAGGGAATACTTTGTATTACATAACATTCTTAACACCACCTCAGTCAATGTAATTGCATATCACACACAGAACAGTATAAAATCCTATTTGTTTCTATGAAGTATCAATGGCTCCTAACACTATAACAGTAAATTTCTGTCTTCTGGGTTGTTGCGCTGTGTAGTGTGGTCGGGGCAGGCTACTCCATTCACATTCTGGCACCTATAAACCTAGTCCCACACACCCTATTGGCATATTCATCACCCTAATGACGGAGGCAGTATGACCTCTGAAACGTTGGTAAACATCGACCAGACTACACAGTGCAACAACCCAGAAGACAGAAATCTTCATTCTCACCGCTGTGAAAACCTCAAATCTTACTATAACAGTACTCTGCCATACACACATTCCAATATACTTTATTGAAATGGTGACCAAGTCCTGAAAATGATTTATGTTCTTCAGAGTTTTGGCACTATACAGATTCACTGGTAGACTCCAAAGCTTCAGAGAGTTTCAATCTTCAGGGCTAAAGTGCTGATGCTGGGAAGTGGAGGGATTTGCATAGCGTTACAGCAACAGAAGGCTGAGGGAGTGGGCCAATAAGAGATGAGAAATAAGGAGGGTAAAAGGTCCAAGCCAACAGGGAGTCGACAAGCAGGTATACAGCTGGGTGCTTCCTCTAATCCCAGAAATCCCTCCACTTCCTACCATCACTTCAGCCCTGATGATGGGGACTGTTTCTTGGACTCAATGGCATCTAGATGAGTCTACACAGTACCTAAACTCAGATCATTTCACTGTCACCACTATACAAACATCAAATTTCAAAAGTCCTGAAAATGTTGATGATCTTCATTGTAATGCCATGTGGTTTTTGTAGGTGCTTAATGAAGTTCTAAAGGGACACTGGTAACCGTAAGATTGCAGAGTGACACAACGAAGAAAACAACCAACATCTTCACAGCTACGAGAACCTCAAATTACACAATTCCTGGAAAAATTCTATATTCATTTTAGAGTTGCACTAGAAAAATATGAATTTGGGCCAACATAAAAATAACTAAATTAAATCCATATACTTCAGAACCTAATAGTTGCTCAGTTAATCAAAAAAATATGTGCCCTTTATGGAACATGAGAGCTCACTAGTGCCAACATGTATATGGTAATTATAATAACCTTATAAATTATGCTGTTACAGATCAACTATCGACTCAGGGGATTCAATTAAAGCTTAGTTAATATATATTGTATACAATGATCGTAAGCTAAACTGAATCACATATTTTGCTAACATATTAATTAGATGTATGAATAAAGGCAGAACATATCTGAAATGACACAAGTCACTCAGTCAGGAGCCACTGACACATCAGACCACTACCCAACGATATCAATATGTACATATGTCACTAGCCTGTGTGAAAGATTCAGTGTTAAAAAAAGCCACTTCAATTTCCAAGAGATGGCTCCATTTTTACTGTCATTTAAAAACAAATACTACTTATGCAATCCCAACACAGGATTTCTAACGTTCAAGTAAAGACTATTTAGAACAAAGCATGAAAAAGTTGAGCATCATAGTGCAATGACACATTCATTTCAAAATGCTTCTGCATGTCAAGAACTCCAGAAAGACAACTAAATAGATTAACACTAATACAAACCTCAATGTACATTCTACATTCAAAATCAGAAATTTCAGAAAAGTGTATTTACCCAGCGGAATAACCATACATCAAAAAATAACAAATACATAACAGCATTTAGCCAAACATATAGTACACAGCATTAACACCAACAAATACATAATTATCCAGTTCTCAGACAATAATTTAAATAATGTATGGTACTGCAGAAAGAACCTAAAATTTACTTTTACACTATTAAATATTGTGCATGGCTTAGGGAACAGTATTTAATGACACCGTTCTTAAATTTATTGGAAGAATATTTCCCCACAAGTAAAAACATTATATAGGTTGGCATTTCATCTACAAGACATATCTTAATAAATCAAACAGAACACTGTAAATTAAAAACCAAATCAGCTAATTTGTTTTCAAATCAAAACATCTCAGTAAAACATTAATTCCACAGTATTCTAATTATTCTTAAAATTTAAATAACTACATTTACTTTAAAAAGCTACAAATGTCAGCAACTGAGAACATCTGTAAGAATAGGTTTAAGAAAATTTAAATTGCAATTCAAAGTTGAATGCTCAAATATTGTACACATAGCACTTACAAAAGTTTTCAATATGAAATTTCAATTGAAAATTACTGATTTCCCCATCCCAACTATTATCATAGAAAATTTCTAAAATTTCTTCAAAATTTATAGACTACACAACAGTATACATGATCTATAGCTTTTGCGGTAACTGAGTTCAATGAAGCATTCTCGGGCAATCAGCTGCAAAAAACCGATGTTTCGAGAAACGTCTTGATCCTCGTCCTCAGGGATCTGATGTCTGTGAAGCCCAGGAAATCCCATAAATATACCCACCTGGACTGGGTGGTCACTGGAAAAGTGGGCAGTCAAGGTATACATATGACACCTACTGGGCTCTGCATACATCAGAGCCCTCATGATGAGGACTGAGACAGCTCTCAAATGTCAGTTTTTTTGCAGCTGACTGTACAATACTTCATTGTACACAACAGTACCTTTCCTACACATATAAGCTACTGCAGCAATTAATATATAATTATATAATTTACCAATCCACTTTACAATTACAACCTTTACATTTCAAACAGAAGATTAATTTAACATGCCATGGTAAGAGGGAAAGTCTTAGCAAGCCACGACAGACGAACGTTTGTCCCGATGTTTGTTTCGTGATATTGTCCTGGCTTTGTAAGCTGCTGCATTCATCAAGTGCTGAAAACATAAAGTATATAAAATACAAATTCATACACTTAATCAAGCAATATTTATTTCCCCTGCAAATACAACGAAAACAAAGTCAAACCAAAGAAAGAACAGAATCATAAACTCCATGTTACAATCAATTTACCAGACTTATGAAGGAGAGATCGTGTGTTTATTCATATTTTACAGGTGATGCTGTGTCTCTTAATACTTACAAGAAATACCGTATGAAAATCTGAATTAAAGAAAAGGTGCATTGTGTAGTCAATGCTACCGAATACAGACTGGTATGGGAAGTGTATCAGATGCGCCGAGTTCTTATGGAGGTTTCCCAGCATAATCCCATGTTTGGTAACACTGATAGCAAGGGAGTCTGAAAGTGGTAGACTTCAAATACAGGAGACAAAGAATGACATGGACAGAAGACAACAGTTTTAAAACATGACAGCAATTCAGAGAGAAGTATAAACAGAAAATTGCTGCTGGCTTACCAATCATCTCAGAAACTTTTATCAGTACAAAGCAACAGTATTTCAGAGTAAGGAAATGAATGTCAATCTGTCTGTTCAAGAAATTCCAAAAGGTAGGTTCAAGCACCATCTGGTGACAGAGAAACATGCTCGGTGTTACACGACAAACATTTCTGTGGCAAAACTTCAAAACCCACGGATACTGAGCTTTCTTAGCAACAGACTTTCTGGGCTGTAACAGGCACTGGATACACAAATAAACCGTGTTTCCTTTCTCCTCTGCTTCCCCTTCTGGGTATTTTTGGGTAAGTGGCGCTACCTCCATAATCTCTGATCCACATGCCTCTAAGCGACTGGCATCAGAAAATTATGGGTTGTGAGGAAGAGTTTCATCTCCTATTCATGGGTTCAAAAAACTGATGAAAAGTTAATTTTGAAATATATTTTAGGACTTCATCAATTTCCATATTAGATAGAGCCACCATATGAAAAAAAAACCTTATGCCATTTATTTCCTTGCTGAACCACGCTGCCACGTTTTACAAAAACCTATGAACATCTCAATTCTAACTTACCCGTTCAAGTTTTGTTTGCTTGTTTGCTGCATAGTATGGTGGAGACAACCTTTCACCCAGCTCAAAAATATCCCGCACTAGGTCATTCTCAGTTAAATGCAAGTTCATCCCAGATCCCAGTACCTGAAAAAATTGACACATAAAAAACTCGTAAAACAATAAGGCTATGCTTAAATGACTTTGTGAAGTACTGAGATATAAAAAAAGAAGAGAATGATCAACTCAAGATTATAATGGTCTTCACATTTAGAACAAAGTCTCTCTTACCATTCACTTATATTACTTCTTAATTAATTTGCATCAGCATCAGAATAAATGTGGTAAATTCTTGCTACCATTCATTTCACAACCTGTAATCTTCCCATTTCTACAACCAGTATCTAAAAATCTAATGTTACTGAAGTATACAAAACTGCAATTTTTACATTTTGTTTCTTATGGAAGTAAATCCTGGTCTCTCCCTCTAAGAAAAGAACAAAGATTGAAAGTTTCTGATAACTAAGTGGAATATTAATTAATTCATTCATTCACTTCCACTTCAAGGAATGGGCCACTTACCCATTCTGGGACAGCTGCTCAAGGCAACTTGTCCTTATTTGAGTAGTGAGAGGCAAGCCCACTGACTGCACAATTTATACTCAATCCTGATTTGTCTTCTAGAGTCATCTAGTAGAGAATCAGGTAAGAAATGGCCGCTGAATTGTGCTTACGAAACATTCTGTTCATGCTCGTAAGGTTCTTTTACATGTCGTAAATCTACGACATGGGACCACCAACTTTGCTTCCCCTCCGAAGGAAGATGTGCTTCGGATTTTTATAACCCTTAAACATCCATCGACCTCAGTCGGGTTTGAACCCACAAACCTTGGGTCCAGTGGCAAGCACACTAACCACTTAGGCGTGTTTCTTAGTATGTACTGATGCTGAATTAAATCAAAGGAAGATGACATGGGCACAACATGTAAGTCATGGGAGATATTATAAATGCACATAATATGTTGGTCAGAAATAATACTAATGTTATTAACTTTTTGTTTCATTACAAAATCTTTGTTCTGTCCATCACTAAGAACATTCTACCTTAGAATAGGCTAGTTAAAGATAACATATATTAACTAGCAGAAAGATAATACAATTTTGACTATTATAACCTACGGTAGAATATTCTTACTAATGCATGCCACTATAATGATCCCGTTGACAATAAGCACAGATATGACATGACATGATACAATGCTAGGTCTTGTGCAGTCTCTCTCAGCTGTGCATTAACATTTTGGCAGTGGGAAGATAACGCACAACAACCGAAACTATGCTTGCTATTTGCTGTATTATATACCGAAGGAAACGCACCTGACAGAATGCATCATATTGTTTCTTGCGACACCATGAATCAAGTGCAAGTATTTCTTGACCAAATCTCACCTGGATGTCTGGTGGATCACCATCCTGGAATCACAAGCATTATTTCATGAAGAAAAGCCCTGAACAAAACAACATTATTCTTTCTGGAATATTCCCGTACAAATGTCTTAAGATGCCTTCATCTTTTCACATGCTGTTCATTACTCACACCCTACTTTACGTCAATTAGTGAGAAACCTGTCTTTCAAAAAAACACCTGGACAGAAACAAAAAGAAAAATTAAAAGTCTTTCCAATGCATTGTAATGTTCAAAGCTGAAATCTCCTATTACCTCTAACCTTTTAAAGCAGAAGAAATAATACTGAAGAATTCAGTCTGCACTGCAAGAAAACGCAACTCTTCACCATTACCAAGTTCCACTGGTTGATGCTGTTTACAGTGAGAATCACATGAAACGCATAAATACAAAATGAAGAGTTACTGATTGCTGAAACACGTTGGACATAGTTACCACTGGGCTTCAAAGGTTTAAAGACACTAACATAATGCAGAATGGTGCGCTTCAACATTATCTGTGCTTATCATGCTGCACATACTGTTTAACTAATAGATTTTTCTTATGTAAATTAAGCCCAACTAGCATGGTTTATTTCAAACACTGAAGATGCATATGCTGTAAGTTACTACATAAAAACCAGTAGGTACAAATTAAGAGCAACATTTGAAACACATTATGCTTTTTTTTAATTTTGTTTTTCTAATACAAAAAACATTTTGGAATTGGGACTATTATCACCATCAGGAATGCTTGAGAAGGGGAACCTAATCAAACAGATTAGCTTATATACCAACATCACCTGTACTATGCAATAATAAAATTAGTTTTAAAACATTAGAATATCATGCCCAGACTAAAACTGCAAAATAAAAGAAGCATAAATACAATAATTTAAAACAAAAAGAGGTGATGCAAGTTACTGGGGGCTGAACATTCAGGAATTAAAAGAAGAAACTGGTATCAGTCGAACAACATTGAAAAGAGACCTCCAACAGTGTGTACAGCACTAAATGCAGTATCAACCTGTGAAACTCTCCTGCAAAAGACAAAGAAATGAAGTTAATTTTGTCCCGCTACGTGCTATATAGGCACTTGGGGTGAGTGGAGGTATAGCTCCTCTCTTTCTTGGCCTCTGCACTAGATGGGGTGAGTGGTCAGCATCACGCCCCGGCCGGCTTTACCCCCGGTACCCATTGTAGAGGAGGCTGGGTGGGCCCCAGAGCCAGTCTGGACACAGAGGTTAGAGGAAAAATCCTCTGCCCCCATCAGGGATCGAACCACGGTCATCCAGCACGTAGCCAGTCACTATACTGACTGAGCTTCCGCAGACAAAGAAATTAAGTAAAAGACTCTATATCTAGCTAATCTCATTCATAATGGAAACCCAAACAGGCAAAAATCTCCATACAGGGACGGTTGATTTGTTCGTCAGAACCACTGTATGGACTTCCCCTTTCTTTGACTGCATGCCATCTATTGTTTGGTTCAATCTATAGCAACCCATGTTTCTTTCCACCTTATAAAGTGGTCTTCTTCACAGGTTTGTTGGTAACAACTTGAGAAAGCAGGAAACCAATGATTTATTTCTTGCAGAGAAATTAAAAGTTTTAATTTCAAACCATCCCCTTCTCATTACAAATCTGAATTACTGGAGGCGTCCACACTATTACAAGCCTACAGTTACAGCATTATTACTGCAGTAATCACCTCAACATAGTGTAGAATGTCACGGAAGCTTGATCGTTGCTGTTTTCTGTCCTTCTTGGCTCGGTACTTATGTGAGTCAGTAGCAAGCTGTCGCAACTTATCTACCAGCTGTGGTGTGGTGGCTCTTTGGAAGTCATCATTATGTTCTCGACCAAGTTCATAAGCCAGGGCTATGGTCTCTCCAGCTGCCATTCGCACATCCAAATGAGCTGAATCCAGCAATTCAGACAGCTGGTATATTTTGCTGAAAGACAAATGCTAAAAAATTACCTATGTACTCTTCTAAAAGCTTATGTCACATTCTGTGATCTTTATAAATTTCCGCAAACTCCAAAAATGAAAAAGTACTGCTGAACAAAATCAATCAGAACGTTGATAACATTCAGGCATGTGTGAATTGACTTTTTCAATTTGAGATGAGACTGTGGCAAAAAATTTGGAAAATTCCTAAAACAAGAACAGAACAAGAATTTTCTCTATCAGACTTCTTCTTCAATATATAACACAATTTTTGAATAATGCACTGAAGTGTACTACTTATCCCTTTTGATATCAGATTTAACCACTTGCTAATCTGGAATATTTCAATATGTTTCATGGCATGAAATAAATTTTGCTTATTAAAGCACAACTGGTTTCTGTCAGAGTAGAGTACATATTTCCTAAGTTGGCATTGCTGTTGTTAAAAGGAACTGACTGTTGGGAGAGGGAAAGCCTCACGTGGAATAAAGATGTATGAAGAGGGAATGAGACAGACTTACATTCTTTACTGACAAGGTGGGTCATGCTAGAATTACCTTGAATTATAAGCATGATAGATCAGATAGTTTGCATGTTGCTGTGCAAAGAAAAGCTGTTATCTAAAAATTGTCAAAGACTGAGACTGAAAAATCAACTTAAAATTATTTTCTCAATACCATCCTGGAAGTTGAGACTGACACACACCTAATAACTTTTTGCGCAATGACTTTTCTCGGAGTGAGAAGAGCCCTCATTACTGCCGCTACTGCTGCTACTACTACTACTACTACTACCACTGTTACTTCTACTGAAAGATGATGGTCAACAGGGCACTGAACAACAAAAGCTATGGAATTAATTTATGAAAATTTGGATCAGTCCCATTAACTCATGAAAGGGAAACATCTACTATACTGTAGGATTTGAAGTTTTCATGGCGGTGGGTACAAAGAGTCTACAGCCCACATCATTCCAAATACACCATACATAATATAAAATAAGCAACATACAACTATTAACAATATAAAAAAGACACTATTGCCATACGCATTTCAACCTCAAGAGGTCATCAGGGAAATTTATTAATTCTAGAGTTCACAGGTACGGACGACGCAACCACAGATCGCCGCAGACCAGCTACGGACACCGGACTATCGGATCAATAGCTAAGTGCAGAGTTCAACCCTTATGAATAACAACATCTAGTGCAGTGTCGCTTGAAATACTTTTGTTAAATACCCTATTCATTATTTCTTTTCTAAATCCAGTTTAAACCATTTGATTAAATGAATTTCTCTGTTGCCACTGATGATGACCTCTTGAGATTGAAATGCGTATGGCAATAGTGTCTTTTTTATAGTGTTAATAGTTGTTTGTTTACTTATTTTATATTCTAATACACTACACAGTATGCAAAGTTTAAACACCATACATAATTCTGTTAAAAACTAAACCAAAGACTTACGAGGCAAATCCATCACTATTCTCAGACATGAGCATGTAAGTATCGCTCGGTGCCATCAGAGTCAGGAGGAGGCTCCAGGCGGAGAGAGCAGCAGCATGCAGTGACGAAAGCTCTGCAGATACTACTGGAATGGTTCCATTTCCTTTCAAGTATGACCCTGAGAAGATTGTTTCCAATGACTGCATCAGATGAATAACATCAGCCATCTCTCCTCCAGATAGGAAACTGCATAAGCCAAGTGCCCAACAGCACTGAAACATAAATATATGTTTATTTCATCTACTTGCAACATTGTAATTCTCTTTACAAGTTACCTTTTTCATTTTATTCACCATGACATATTTTAGTAATTTCATGTTAAAAAGCATTTTTGTAATAACTAATTTTATACAAGTGGGAGAGGTACTAAAACAATTAGTGCAATAAAAATATCCAAGGTTCCACTGCAACAAAACAAATGGCTACATCACCTTTGCTCTTGCTTTGGGTGATGCTGCTGTATCATGGGCCACTACAGACAGCACAGGTGCCAGTAATTTGCATACTTCCTCTGCTTCATCTCCAGCCCCAAGTTGGACACACAACAGAGGAGCTAACTGTGCTGCTGCTGCCTGTTCTGATCCACGACCCTTTTTCAAACTTCGCTCAATTCCATCAGCTAGCGTCAGACGCCTACAGACAAAAGAAACATTCCCCATAAAACGAAAATGTCTTAAAAACATTTAGTATAAATGTGGAAGTAAAAATATAATCTTGATTTCAGGGACAAAAGTAAAATTGAGGTGCCTTCTGATCTTATTACAGATTACCTTTCACAATACAACTGACATATTTGATAAAAGCAGTCTGAGAAATATGAATATGCAGAAGATATTCTTGAAATGAATTATACTCAAAATTCCTGCTTTAGACAGCAGCACACACTCAATGATTTTTAACTTGCAGGTGTGAAAATATCAGATACTGACCACAAAATTTTTAATGGCACTGTTAGCAATAAAAAGAACATTTGCATATGGGGCTGACAAAGAAATTGAAAAGGATAGTTTTTGAAAATAAATGGTGTCACATAACTCTGTTGACTAAAAAATAATGTGTAATATGAAACATGGTGGCGATCCTTAATGTCAAATAAACTGAATTGAAATAAATGCTGAAAAGTAAGAATACCAAATTTCTTCCATGCAGCAGGGGGTGTGACTTCTCATGTAAATACAATACTTTTGTGATAAAGAAAATCAAAATAGAATTATATGAGAAAAAATTGATATCAATTATCATTTACAAGAGCATGCAAACACTGAAATCCTCTCATGAAAATGTGTTCAGAGGCCTGGAAGCAGACATTACTGACAACATGAAAAACTCAGTTCTAAGTCCAAGAAATAATGCATGGCACTGATATTCTTGGGACAGAGATTACAGCAAGTCAGAAAGATGCAATACATGCCACGTGAAAAAAAAAATGCTGTCATATTTTTCACATGACATGCCTTCGTGAGTTATAATATTCTGATAAATTTTTATACTAAAATGGCATGCAAAGGTAAAACAAATTGCAATTCCATATAACATTTGTGACTTTTGTAGCATTTCACACCACCCACTTTCTAACATGCTTCTATACAAAAATTGAAATAAAAACAAGACCTCAGAAGTTTATCAAAAAGATTTATGTAAAAAAAATCAGCGCAAATGATAATTTTATTTTCCTATTTTCAGTAAAAAGTAATATGTTACTGACTCAACACAAACATTTCTTCATGGGAAGAAAATAATGAGTTGTGGGAATACAAGAAATAAATGAAGAGGCTCGATTGACAGATGACCCATCTGCAGCGGAAACATCTTAGGAAGAGATAACTCAATCTCAGGCACTAGTCAGAATGACAAACAATACCTGTCAGACACAAAATCCGGTATACACTTCTTTATGAATGCCTTGGTAACAGATTCTAGTGATAATGTTCGACCCTGTGCTGATTTCTGATTGAGTCCATCAATTGCCTCTCGCAGTTTTTCTTCAAATACCTCTTCCTGTGTCTGTTCATCCACCTCATCGCCTCCTGCAATAATGTAGTTATGAATGTTTGTAATTCAATTAGTGGTCGTTAACTTACTAAGGTAAAATAAAAAATGCAGATTTACCATAACACTGTTACAAAAAAACATCTCATGTGTTGTACTTCAACAGAATTCCTAGGCATTTTTTACACAATGTCCGTCAGCTGTCAGTATCAATGAACAGATTGTTATTGCATCGTTTTTACTTTTCCTAAGCATTACATGTAAATCATAGGCATTCTAGGAATACCAAAAGATCAGCATTTTATGCAATGCCAAAGATTAGTTATCACCAAAAGCATTTTAATGCAGTAAGTGAAAATCAAGAACAGGGACACAAAATCTTAAAGAACATATTTGAAATCTGCTCTACAAAAGTACTCTGTATTTAATGCTAAGACTAAGAATTTGTTTTATATAATAGAAACCCACTAGCTACTTAACAAATGCAGCTGCCATATGATTAATACAATTTTGATGCATATTCATTGCCCTTACCAAATGTACTCACAAAATTCTTCCAAATCCTAATGATTCATACGTGCAGCTATAGTATAATCACTAATAAGAGCATAATGATGGCAGTGGGAGGAGAGAGCAAGAGAGAGACAGTATACTCTTGATTTTACATCAGTAATGGATAACCACTTGTGTACAGTCTGCACTACTCTGGAGACTGCATGTACTATTCAAACATACAGTATTTTGCATTTAAATAAAGAATGACATTCCTTGACCTCTGACACTGATTTCACCATAACTAGATAGCAAAAATTGCATGATAATAAATATGCAGATGATAAATGACAGGATAAATAAATGGTAACTCACACAGACGCATCCCATAGACCCTATGAAACAAACTGTAAGACAAATACATCATAGCCAGAAAATACAAATGCAATATAAACATTTCTTAAGAACAGAATACACCAACAGACTAAACTGCATACACTCGCATTATTAACAATTGCTTATCCAGTTTACATTACATTTAGACACATCCCACAAATTCACTACATTCAAAAATATGATCTTATTGGAGAATCTCCACATGCATAAAATTGCATGCACTTATTCACAAATATAAAATCATATGCAAAATTTACAAACAAATGGTCAGTCAGTTTTAGTAGTACAAATTCCTCTATGGCATAAACAGTGTGGGCCAGGAGAAATTCTTTCAATATTATTTTAAATTTAATTACTGCCAGTAAATAAACATTTAATTTTCAAGAGGAGATGTAATTATTTACCAGATGTCATGGGAAGGCACATAACAGTGATGGTACTTGAAATTGAATGGTGAAACCCATTTTTATCAACTTCTCTTTGGATACTACCTTATGTAATGTGATGGAAAGAGCAAAATGGTAAAAAACAAAACAATTTAACTTCTTGGCAAAGTTCCTTTGACATGGGTGAAAAATAATAAAAATTAAGAAATAACAAGAGGGTATCAATAATTGTTAGTCTGTGTACAGATCCATTACATTAGAGTGGTTTTCCATTTGTTTATACAAGTGGTATATATTGCAGGCACAGATGGTGTTACAGAATTCAAGGGCAAACACATCTGAAATCTTACACATGATACATTATAAACAAAGTATAATGAATATCATAACTTTCAAAATAACTGAAAAAGAATTTCATATAATTATATTAAATTTACAGAGACTGAAATAATCTCAGAAATGTTTCATTATTACTATTCACATGCTCTGTATAATTTATGGAATAGGTTCTTACATAAAGAAAAGCTAAAACAACTATACTAGTATTAATATTAGAGATAGCATTACATGATTTCACCTTCAAAACATATACTCCAGGAATCCTGCTGCACTTCAATAAATGGCTTCCCTTATGACCACATTGCAAGTGAACTGACATTAAAATGTAGTCCTTAGCCATAGCACATCAGCTAAATTTTTGGATCCCTTTCAGATATTAGGCATTGCTCTGAACCTCTGTAGCAATCCAATTTGTTTCTATGGAATGTGAAAAAAGTTGAAAGAAAGCTGTGAATTATAGGGCTTATAACTCACCTTCTTCGGCAATGCTCTTTGTTTCTGACACAATACTGTTGACACTTGCATTGTCATTGACAGAATCTTCATCAGATGTTAGTCCAATTGCATCTATACGGGACTTCTGAACAAATGCTAAAAGAAATTCCAGAACAAATTAGATTTGTAACAGAATGATAAAATGCAATGTCCCACATAATGTGCACAAATATTTTATACAGTTCAACACAGGATGCAGTGAAAGCACTAACTATTGCACAACACATTTACAATTGTGTATCAATCATTTCCCTTGCGTAAGAAGAATAATCTGAAGCTATAAATAATAAAGAATCATAAGTGCTAGAAAAAGAGACAGCATAAAATGAACATTAGATGGCTGAGGTCATGGTAAATTTATTTAGATTTATAAAGCATAGTTCCCTCAATCATATCAATATATTTTATTTCTGCAAGATTTCATCTGTTTTATTATTTTCATTCATAATTTGCATGCTGTTAAGACCCCAAAAATGCTTACTGACAATTCATGAAGCATCAGCTCATGTTTCTGGTTCTGTATTATTGACAAGTTATAGAATCTGAAACAAAATAGTGCTTCATGTGTGTTGAAGTGTCATGGATGCAATACTACTGGCTGCATGTTCTTCTCTATACGTTTGTCCATTCTTACTACAAAACCATTAAAATGTACCTTCACTTAATACTCGGCAACCTTTTCCAACAATTTTATAACATAATTACTTCGCTTGTAAGACAAATGTATTGGTATTAATATTACTATGTCATAGGCGCACTAGCGTCAGGTGCCAGGTCACTATGGCAACTAACATTTTCATGACAGCACCTACAATTTTCTGCATATTATTCTGATGGTACTGTATCTTTGCATAATATTATGTAACATTCACAAATTTATGCCATGTAGTTCTGATTCCAGTGGCAGTGTGCAAATTGACACGAATGTTATTTTAATTTCTGATGTATATTCTGGGTCCTACATTTATAGTGCATTTGTGCATGACTGACATCAATTAAATTTATATCAGTCTGAATATCTACAACTGCTGTAACAAATCTATGACGCAGTTAAAATTTATATAGGTTACTTTACTGTTTTATGTACTACCAGATGAATGTTCTTGATTCATAAGCACAGATATGTCAAAATACACCTCCATTCTGATTTTCTCCATCTCAAATTTTAAACTTTTTTCACAGTTGACCTTGGTGTTCAAGTCATGTCAATTACTAATTCTGAAGACATTAATTTACATACACGAGACTATATTAAATTACTACATTACTGAGAATGCTAAGATACCGAATGACTATATGGTGCGCGCATCTAAGTTCTTGTAATGTCTACACTATGTATCTTATCTCCCACAGAATTCTTATTCCTCGCGTATGTAATTATTTTTTTCACAAATAAAATTAACTGTCCAATGCTCAATGTCCTTTTTTCCAAAACGATTACCACAAACGTGAAAAATAATATTTAGAAAATTCCAAACATGGACGTGGTTTACTTTCAAACTATCAACAGGGTAATGACCAGCTATAGCCCTGCAATAAATCATATAATGCATTATTATCAACCTCACATACATTACATTGCCATATGTTCATATGGTATACCTCTCAAAACGTGGAGTCATCGGCCATAATGTTCTATTCCTACACCAAGGTCTTGAAAGCATGGCACTCACCTGACTTTCCCTTTCGCTTTCCTTTCGGCATGACTTCTAGAATTCCAAACTGGCCTAAAATGTACACTTAATCAAGACGGTGAACAATTCAATATAGTTTGTGGCCTACGTATATTTAATACTTGACATATAAATAAAATTTCACAAAAACTCATAAACATGATGCTCCTCACAACATGCAAAGCCAGCCTTCACGGCCAATAATCGCGCAAAGGATTCTGGGTGGCGTAACCATAGACACAATATTCCTACCAACGTTTGAAATTGTAACATTTCTCAACATTGCGCAATGTGTTCTCTTAAATTGGCAGGAGCGAGTGTTATGCTATATATAATTGATGACTAATTTAATTATAATGTGAAAATTAGCCTTGTGTGTCTGTAACGAATTATATCTAATTCGTTTAACAACCTGCAGTAGTCTCAATGACAGATGAAAAACCCAATAAAACTTCCGAAGTAACACTGCCAACTCATGGTTTTTAAAGCTTCATTAAATGCCAAGCTGTAAGCATTTAATCTCGTGAGCAATCTTTCAGGTTCTCAAAATAAACACTTGCACGAATTTAATATCTCCCCCCCCCCCCCCCCCCCCCCCCCCCTCTTCCACTGTGCAGCCAGTATTTCATCCGTATTCCACTCCCACTTCTCCGTTACTTTTTGTTTCTCTCCTTTTCCTATGCACGTGCGTTCTAAAATATCCCCCCCCCCCCCAAGTCCTAATCTTCATATCCTCCTTGATTTCATCACCTCATAAATTACAGTGTTTCCCAAATTAACAGACCACAGAACACTTCTGTGTACCTGAAGTATCACTGGAACCCTTTCTGATCTTGTCACTTTATTTCTTGTCATAAAAATAGGAAAATTCGTTCTTCCAACTTCAAGTACAAAAACATTTTTTCAGTCTGGATTCTGAACCCATTTCATTACATACCATACTATAACATTACAGATAATGTGGCAATTTAAGAGAATATTGTGACCAACAAATTAAATTAAATGAATCAAATAGATATCATATTTCACATATACATAATTGACAGCATCTTCTGGTAAATGAAAAGCATATGGTTAGTCATTTGTTCCACTGTAGGGTAATTTAGCCAATACTGGCAAAGAAATAGAATTTCAATGACCAGCACTTTTCTTACCATACCACTACTTCAAAAGTTTTCATTTCTGACAGGAGAGGGTAACAATAACAAATTATTTTAGGCACTTTTATTTATTACACATTCCAGAATAGAAATTTACTTTAATAATCCTCCTGCCCCCTCTCACTTATATATCAGACTTGAATGACATCAAATCATGAGTGCAGCTACTTCTGCCACAGAAGTAAGCAGATATCTAAGTCCATGGCTTGAAAATTATCTTTAACCTTTATCATCTGTGTATCAATGAGAAAATGTCCCTAATTTTGCAGTGGCAAGCAATGCCCAACATTTTGGACTAGACTCGGGATTATCTTAACATGAAACAGAACATTTAAAATATTCTCCCACTAAGAAATCATGATCATTATAAAAACAACCTTCTTCCTTTTTGTATGTTTCAATAGTGATAAATAGTGTATAATACAACAATCGTATCTTATTATTTGTTGTACATCAGTTCAGTAACTTATAGCAAATATCTGTACAATACTAAAAGAATAAGACAGTGTATACCTCATTGATAATATTCAAGCTTCCCAACAGATACAAGAAATATGTAATGCACTACAAAACTTAAAGAAATATTATTTGCACAGCTGTAAAAATTTAATATCAGACAATGGTGACGATGTCAGCTGTGGTATGGGTTGTAATATCATATAATCTTGTGTTTACCATAAACTTTGGAGGCTGTCCTGACAGATCACCTTTTCCTCTTTCACTACTTACTATTACTGGTTTCCTTACAGGGTCATCCTTTTCAGAGCTTTCTTTAGGACTTGCCCTATTTCACACCTGCTTCACTTCCCTTTACCCTTACCTTTCTCTCCTCCCCATTCTCATTGGCCAATCTACTATATAAATGATTCACTTCAATCCTAAAGATACATTTGATTCATTCCTACAAAATATTGGTAACCACCTATAAGATTACACAGTTTGATTAACTTAGACTTACATTATCAATTGATTATCTCTGTAAATTGTATTTTGGTGATCTATGACATCTGACAATGAGCAGTTTGGAGATACATAATTTAGAATGTCTGAGAAAGACTATTCCCCCGATCAATCATTACTCTAAATTTCTGATAGCTGACTCTATTCCTGAACACCAACATAAATTTGGAGATCTATTTCACACATTACTGTCCTCCCACATGTAAATATAAAAACCAAATATTAGTTTTGTCTTTAGCATAAAGCACATAACCTATGTCATAACCAACTGGTTGTACTCTGCAGATTATGAAACCTCACTTAAACCAAAGAAACACTCAGGACTTCTGAAACAGATCAAAGTACGAGAACTACATACCTTATTAAAGGAGACAATTATGTATTCTGCTTCAGTTCAAGCTCTTGCAGTACCAGATTTAGAATAAGAGCAAAAGCAATTTTAAAGATCCCTGACACCAAATATCCATTAAATTTTAATTGCCACAAAAACTTCAGGTAGTTCAATTATAATAATTACTACAGTATTTTCTGTCATACTCTGACCTTTACATATAAAAAGCTACTCTAAGTAATAAAATGTTCCACTGATTGAATACTACAGCCAGCCTAGATCAACATTTCACAGCGAAAAAACACTGACAATATTGTGTGTATGTTATTAGACTTAAATTTTTCTGAGCAACATCATAACATGCAAGAAAAGGTATAGTATATTGTAAGATTGACCAAATTACAAATTACACACAAAATTTTATAAAATCTACACTGCATAATAACAAAGTAGAAATACATTTGCCTTGGTTTAAAGACATTCCTTTGTCTTCATTATCTAAGAAAGAGAATCACACTTGCCTTTTCTTCTTTTAACCCTTTGAGGTACACATATTTTAAAGTATGACACCTCACAGGTCAAACACATTTTGTTAGAATTTAAAAATGACTGGACTACACTCTACATTGAATTCAAACATAACTTTCCAAACGTCTGGTGAATCCAACAGAGGATCTCATTAAGGTCTATTTATTAAACTGTGTAACAAGACTACCAGACAAATATAAATGTAGTTTTGAACTTTCAAACTGTTGGGATTATTGGACTGATTCTGATACAGGACTGGAATGTAATTCTATGACTTGAAAATGCTAATAACATGTGAATAAATGCATCATTATGGGTATAAGTAACTTAATCAGTCCTATTCATTACTATATTGTAAACTTATGCTCTGTATTTCAAATAAGCAAAAACAGTGCTCAGTAAAATGGAATTGTAAACAACAGAGATCTAAGTTTCAAAGTATCTCATCTCCTAACAGAATTCTATAAAGCAAGATTTCCTTATAAAATTATAGATACTGTGAATATGATAAATATTATACAATTTGTCACAGACATAATGGTTATAAATATCTTAGTAAGATCTGGTTTACAAAAAATTATGTAATCACACTCCTAAGTAAATTAAGTATCCTTCATCAGTTTGTTATGATACAGACATGATGCCATACACTGTCTGTCCATGTAAAAAACATTTCTCAGTGTGGGAGGTATGGATCCCCAGGGGCCACGAACCTCATGTCGCAGGGCTAATGGCCTAATTGTAATACATATAAATTGCTAAGAATATACAGAAAGTGGTTACAAAATTATAGAAATAAGTCAAAATCACTTGTAAGCTTTAAATGTGGAGTATATGTAGAATATAAATCTTATTACAAAACTATGTATAAAGATGTTATAGCATTGTAATCATATGTTTTTCAGAAAGTGAAACACTCATTATAGGCCACCTTTGGGCTTATTACAAACACTCAAACTTCAATTTGTGAGTTCTTACACTGGCAGGACATTAAAAATCTGTTGATTACAGTAGTGTTTATGTCACTGTACCTTTCTGTAGGAACCTTTATTTTTTCTCAAAACATCTGAACTTAAATATAAAATAGTTATACCATAGGAAAAGTTAATTATAGATGGATAAAATCATTGGCACCTGAATCAAGTTTCTATTAATCTATACATACATTAAATTCACCAAATGTTTCATATTTATGCACCTCACAGTGAGCAAATCATGTTAATTTTATTTTGGTAGTGGGGAACTATTTCCCAATTGCAAAGTTATTTCCATTAAAATCAGTGCTTTACTAAGTGAAAAGCATTACAAAATACATTTTCTCAAATAAAAACTTAATGGAAGGCAGGCGATTTAAATAACAGTTCCAAAACCTTTAAATGGAGTAAAATAAAGTTACATAAAAAACATCACAATGAGAAACAGTAAATGAGGATCCTATTCCAATGTGTAAGCATGTACAATGGCTTTGATATAAAAACCAACAAACAAGAAGTTGAAGATTTCTGTCTTCTGGGTTGTTGCGCTGTGTAGTCTGGTCGACGTTTACCAACGTTTCAGGTCATACTGCCTGTCATCAGGGCGATTGCCCTGATGACGGAGGCAGTATGACCTCTGAAACATTGGTTAACATCGACCAGACTACACAGCGCAACAACCCAGAAGACAGAAATCTTCATACTCACCACTGTGAAAACCTGAAATCTTACTAAACAAGAAGTTATTTATTTGAGGAACTAAAGTTTGTAGCTTGCTTCCTGGTATGGTTATAAAGTTCATGAGTAGACACAACTTTTGAAATTTAATTTACTGATTCTTGTGCCAACAGAGTCATCTACATAATGACCCTAATAGACACCTAAAAAGTGAGTAATATGAAGCAAATTTGAGTTTGATATCAGACAGACAAAAATGCTAAATGCTTAAGCTTCCTTTTCATTTATATTGAGTGCTTCATCTTGTAGGATCTGTAAACTCTGTAATGTATAATTTTATGTTTTTATTAACAAGTGTGAGTATTTGGTCATCAGACTGCAGTATGTATTAACTGCATACAATATTTTGGATCCAAATAACAACGGATAACATATGGACTGATACATAATATGTGAATGATCAGATGTTCTAAATTATACACATATAATGTAACTGTAGTAACTAGTAAGAAATGTCATACAGCTCTTCTTACTTAAATTAACATTTCTTTCTATAAATCACTGTTTTAAGCTTACAATAGTTATCACAATGTACTTACTAGAAAATAAAGCACATATGATGAAAGCACACTTTAAATTTTCTGATTATTAGATATTTCAGATAAGATGTTATACTTTCCTAGATGTTTCTATGATCAGTAACTTTGCAGATAGAAACTTTTTTGGGTATGTATATAAATCCCCACACTTGATTACATATCAAATTCAAGTTTTCAGTTAAAAGTTTATATTTTCTTTATTTTAAGGTTGCAAGATATCTAAAATAAATTCCTGTATTTAAAATAAATTTTATTACATCTCTGAAAGACTGTAGAGTACTGTTAACATTCTGCATACTCTTCATATCACAGAAATGCCAGAAAAGATTTCATAATACTATCGTATTAAAGACACATGTTTACAAATGATCTTAATATTTATTTACACTCTGTTTAAAAAGAAAATTAAATGTTCACATTAAATATTCAGATTATAAATCATTTGGACAGTGGTTAATACAAAATTAAATTAATGAAATAAGGTAAAATCCAATAGTGGCATAAATCCTTTGTAAAACATTGTCAAATGCTATTTTCTTCTCATTATCCAAAATTGTGAGAAAAAAAGAGAATTATTGATAAATTCTGGCACAGAAATTTGAAATTCAAGTAACTGGCAAGCATTACTTTAATGATTAAATAAATGTATTTTACAATTCAGAGACATTACTTACTATATACTCACTGTTTAGGATTTTCAGTTATATTGTCTTGAATTTAGTACGCTGCTTGTCTAGATGTAATTTTTTAATGTATGTATTTTATGTTTTTATACTTGAGTTTGTAACGTGTTCTATATCCACTATTGGATTCTTGGAACTTGTAAATAAATAAATAAAATAAATGGAAAAAAACCAAAAATGTAATGCCAACAGTTTTAATATAATCAACATGCAATAAAATACTTTAGAACAGTGATCTTTTTATAGGGTGGTGACTAAATTTAAACAGAATTCTTTTTCTTTTAGTCATAGTGATGTTCATGCTATGCACATGGTGTGATTTAAAGATTCCTGGCTCCTCCTGCAAATGTCATGGTACTGAAGAAAGTAGCACTGCTGTCAATTTGTAGTGGTCCAAGCACAGTGTGACTAGTGTCAACATGTCTGGAAACTTATGATTATAGGCCAATGCTGTTTTGAGTCATACAGTGCTGAGCACTGATTCAAGTTTAATCAAATCACGGTGCCAGAACATGCTTACAAATATAATATATTTAATACTTTCCCTCATTCTTCTTGAGTACATGAATGCCAAAAGAAGAGAATATAATACAAATTGAAAAGAGATTTTGGAATGAACAGTAACTAAAAATATAAAAATATGAATGCAAAAACAAACAAAGAAAACACTTATTTTAGAATAGCAGACTGTAATGTAACAGATATTCACATATATAAATGTGGTACTTTTCATGAAGCTCACTACCATTAATTAGGCATTCAATGCATATTAATAAAATATATACCTTTATACAGAGAATCCTACGCAACTTAGAACCCACCTATTAGCATGCAATGGCTATGTTCTGCATTATGACTGAATTCCCAATAACTTCCCTGCTGCTGCAGTATGCTGTCATAGCAGGTTTCATTATAAGTTGGATATCCCAGATATACATAATCTGAGATATGTTGGGAATTCTTTGTTGGTCTGAAGCTGGTGTAGTTTAATGATCGACACTTTTAAAAACTACTGACTTGACACATGATGTAATATTCTAAACCCTCACATCTCCAACATTAAAATATGAGACCAATGTAAATGAGGGGTTCATGTGATGCAGGTATGGACATAACACTATTATTAAATAAAACTACCACTGATTCATATAAAACAGAAAAAATGCTTTATGAAGAACACATAAACCAAGAATAAAATGTAAATAAATCATATGGAACTATAATCCCACATGTTCCATTCAGTAAAAAACCAATTTACCTTGTGAACTACTCTGTTTACAGAATATGAAGATAACAATAGGAAAGAACTAAAATACAACCTTGCGTGCATAAAGAAACCAATATTTCAACTACCTCCAAAAAAAAATTCTACTTTATATTATCCCAATGTGTTACAGCCTTTCAGACTGGACTTTCTTTATTGTAGCAGGATTCAAGGAAAAACTGAACATTATCATAAATATTAACATAAGAAATTACTTAACACATTGTGATCATATGACAATGATATACTGCACAAATATTTAGAACTAAGATACAATAAAATATTTTAATTATTATAAAATTCAACTGCTATACTGAAAATGTATTTATTAAAACTGAGTCTGATCTTTGAGACAATAACATTATAAAATATTTTTATAGTGACTGCTGTATTTTTCTTGCAATAACAGTAACAAATGTTGATATTAAGATTGTTACTCCTGTAATTTTACTAGTGGTTGCACTGTCTTTTACACTTGCGTAACCACTACGATGATTATCAGACTTGAGCTTGGCACATGGTGTCATTTTACGCACAAAATTAAACATACTGTCAACAATATTTGCAGGAGTAGGTTCAGTGCATGTTTCCAGGGCCTTCACAACACATTTCTGCAGCTCTGTCATATCTCTGTGAAAAGGACAAACATTTCAAGCATCACATCACTGTGTGAACATGCTTACAGCTATTACTTAAAACAAAGACATTGACAATCAAAATCAAGTTATCTGATATCTGAATCAACTGTTACTTAAAAAAGAGTTATGAAACATCTAATTAGTACTTCATAAATTAAAATTAATGGACATGAAAAAATCCATACACTCAAACTCAAAGGAAGAGAAACATTTGTAATGAAGATAAAATTTGGTAGCAAGATCACATAATATATTCCTACACAGAAGTTATAATGTCAGAGTCAGCAATCATGTGAAAGTGAAAATCTTTCATGGAGAAATCCAATAGCAAAATAATGCATAATAAAAAATATGTGGAAAAATGCTGATAATCCTTTCCTAATTGTGTGCAGTAGAACTTACAGTACAGAAACCTCTTTGAATGTTAATCATGACTTGGGCCTTCTGGGACTGCACTTATATAAAATGTCAAGCATATCATACATATAGCAATAATGCATACTAGAAAAATGTTCTTTCTCCTTTTAATGACAACTGCACTGATATTTAAGATTCAGAGTATTTCAATTTGTAATTATCAGACACAAAGAAATCAGGTTTTTTATGTGTAACAATCTTCAAAACCCCACTAAGGTATACAATTACAAAACAAAAGTGTACAGTGAGATGCATAATTACATTGGATCTCAGTAGAACCCTGTTTCCTACACAGAAACATTGTAAGTGTGTATATGGAGAAAATTAAGAGCAGGTCTGACAGCATTTCATCATTAAGTGTGGCATCAGACTCTAAATAAAGTATAACTTAGGCAAATATGTTGTGAGGGTTAAGAAACTGGTTTAACTTGCCCAGGACAGAGTAAAATAACAGCCGCTGTTTATGCAATAATTAAGTTTTTGGTTCCATAAAAACAGGGTATTTATTGAGCAGCTGCATAACTATAATCTTTTCAAGGAAGACTCTGTGCCATGCAGTTAATTACTTAATTAAATCCAATTCATTTGATGATGAAAGTATAGGATCTTCACATAAAATTGCAATGGTAAAAGCTGTTTTAAGAGCCGAGTTACTTTAATGTATTTTTAATCTTCTCATTTTAACAATATAAAATCAAACATCACATTTCTTCGGATCCAATATTTACAAAAACAAATTTGCCTAACCTTGCTCCTTTGGTATGTGGTCTAAAGTAAGCTATTCCAAGAATATGTTATGACCATACAACATTCTACAGAACTTTAAAATGAATTAATATAACATCCTGGTCATAATGGAAGATGGGGAGTGAAATTTACCTGCACTGTTCTTCTTCAATGACCAGAGATGGCAAATTGTTGAGTGACAGTGGCTCTGTAGGTAAATTCCTAGAGATTGTTTTGTTGACACAACTCTGTATAGCTTCATTATTTGTTTTAAGACACTCTGGACCACCTTCAGCAATAAACACTATAGGACAAAAAGGACATCACAGCTAGTAAAGTATCATATTCCTTGCAAATACTATTATTACTTAAAAAAGGATGTGCTATGAAATAACACATTAAATCGCATGCACACAGGCAATCTCCCTCCCTCAAGCTTACAAGAACAGCAATCTCTTACGAAAATCCATGAGCAAGCACAGTTGAGTTTGAAGTGAAGCTGAAGGAACTGTGCAGCATTATAACACCACTGTATGTTACAAACTAAACATATGACCAGATAACAGGGTGAGTTAACAGAGACTGAAGGCAGGTTCAGTAAAATTCCAGTATAATGAATGTCATACTGGCACCATGTCCTCTCATGCAAACAAACACTGATATAATAAAATTTCAGTGTAAAATGGTAAAATTCTGTAATAAGTTTTCACTGAAATGGACTGACAAATTACTTACAAGCAATCCGGTCACCCTCTTTAAAACAGACAAACTTGATTATTGAATCAGTGATGTTCTGGATCAGGTATTTGCTCTCCTTCTCCTTTTCTTCAAGACATGGTTCAAGAGTGGCTGTGAAATTGGTGATACAATGCTTCAATTGTGGAGATTTTCTGCAATTAAATAAATTAAACAAATTAAAGTTTCTTTACACATACACACTTACTATCTTTTTTCTGGTGTTTTAAAAATGCCATAGTTTAATGACTGGTGTCACCTCACACTCAAAAGAAATGAAGAGAAAAAAGTATACTGACAACAGACAAATGAAGATAAGAATTCAGGTTCTTATGGCAGAAAGTATGAAGATGGCCGTCTTCTGGGGCGTTGTGCCATGTACTCTGGTAGAAGTTTACTGACATTTCATAGGTGCTTGCTGGCTCCGTCATCAGGATGAGCATCAAACACCTCTGAAATGTCCATAAACTTATACCAGGCTACATGGTGCAACAACCCAAAAGACAGCCATATTCTTAATGTAACAGTTTCAAAATTCTTAACCAAAGCACAAATTTATATTTGCAAATCACTCCAATTAGTAAGAGACCCATATCTTTAAACTGTTTGAAATACAAAATGAGACTAATGATTAAATTGCAAACATATTTATATTGGAGCACATCACACTGTATGGAGGAGCATATGCAAATCATGTTTCACATTCAAAAAAATATAATTCACACTTGTACAATGTGACGGGGGGCTTCGAATTTTTACATTTGAGAAAACACTTCAAATTTGCTTTCGTCTCTGTAAGATACTCAGGTGTGAAGTAATTATTAGTTTACAAATGTATTATGACAGCAGAATGAGTGTTTCCCACTGTCTTATGCAAACATTCATGGTAACATGTTTAGGCAAAGAACTCCTGTTTGTATTCAGGAGTTCCTGTATTCAAATGTCAGCCTAAGAGACCTGCAATCCTGACTGGGATTTTGTGGTTTTCCTCCGTCCCTCCAGGCAAATGCTGTGATAATACCTTAAATTAGGTCATGATCGCTTTCTTCCAAATCACTATTCACTATCATCCTCATTTGACACCATATAGTATAAGCTATTGAAAAGGCATCTTTGAATAAACTATAAATGAATAAAAATACATGTCATAAAACCATAATTTGGCACTAGAAGCACTATTACTTTTAAAAAATATATAATTCACTTAAATTCCTTATTATTAGAGTGCTGCTTCAACAGCCAGAAGGCTAATTACAGATATAGCACAAGAGAGGGACACAAGAACACAATAATAATGTAATAATGTAAATAAAGACAACTAATTTAGGTGGAATGATAATCCAGTACCTCATCTCTATCCATATATTAAATCCCAAGTTCATTCATGCTATATACAATCTACCTGCAATATTTGCGAAATACAATATCCAGGTCACCAGAAGGTTTGGCCTTCTCCACCTCTGCTTGAAGCTCCGTTACATTTACAAGATTATTATAACATTCTAGTAGCTCCTCTTTCCCAGCCTGCAGCAACATAAAAGAAAAATGACTATAAAATAAAGAATCATGAAATAAATAAAACATATGAGTAATCACTGTAGGAGAACCACATTTTTACCAGGTACAAATCTCAAAAACACATTACTAAATTCAGGAGACATGTCTTGCCAACCAATTGTAAAGTACCTTATAAAATGTGTAATATATAGTTCCCAAAGCAGATGCAGTCCTCTTACTGTCTTAATTCTCTGGAATAATTTCCCCTCACTTTATTTCAGCTTTATGAAACCATCTTTTTTTAAAAGTAAACATAAAAATCCTGCTACATACAAAATGAAATGCCAGTAATGGTATGCACTGGACACATTCATAAATATGAAAATGTATTTTGATAACTTTTTATGCCAGTTAAAATTTTGGTTAAACTGTCCTTGTATTAAAAGTTACAGAAATGGTACAAGAACAAATTCATGAAATAAACAAGAAACAGGGAAATTATTGGGTGGGCCTGACACTGAAGCATCATCACAGTATTTTAAGGAAGTAGTCCCAAAGAAGTTCATACTGAATAATATGAAAGAGTAAGTCATTTTCAATATTACAGTATAACAATTTATCTTTATGGGAGAATAAAGAAAATGCTATCTTTTATCTTACAATTTAGTATTTCTCACAAACTACTGCCAAACAGAACAACAGAATAATTTTCCATCTACGTGAAAAGACAGGTCTATTCTTGCCTTACTCTTCACTTGACATCAAATAAAATGGATCAGATGATGGAGTAACAATAAATGCACAAGATGATGACAAATTTAATCTTAAAAAAACAGACTGTGAAGCTATGGCATGGAATGAAATGACTCACAATAGGATTTTGTGAAGATGGCAATGAACCTTCAGGTTAACAACAGAAAATCTCAACCTCATTAACTATCCACTGTTCAAGAAATATCCTGTACAATTAAGTTAAGTACTCTTGTTGCTTCTCTTTTACTCATCTGCATTAAACTGCATAATGGGTAACCCAGGGGTAGTTAGCTATCTTTCTTTTTAACTTCATGGAACCATGTTATTATCATAATGCTCCATTAAACAAAATGCTGCACTTCATTTAAAGTGCAAGACTACTACAAGGTTAAATCATAGATACATGATGCAGTCACAATGCATGGGCTGTTAGTGCAAATCCATTTTAATCTAAACTAGTCTATCCTTAAAATTTAAATGCAAAGTGAAAATATCAAACCCAAAAGTCTGAAGTCTGCCCCTGCATATTTCTACAAGTATTTAAGGATTTAAAAGTGTTGCTAACAATCTGAATATATTCAGTCCTTTTTAAATAATTTTAACATACAGAATGAATACTAAATGATTCTTCTAAAGATTCTTGTACATACCTGAGCAGCTTGGTAAGCCTCTGGATGTCCCAACTTCTTACACTTCTCTTCAAATATCTTCTCACCTTCCTCCACAGTTGGGACATGACTGATGTTGACAGGAAGATTGCTAGGCACTGACAAATTTCCTGGGAGGTTACCAAAGTTGAGATCTTGTAAATTTGGGGCTTGTGAAGACGAATCACCAATTTTTGCAAAGACCGTACTCCCTTGAAAAGAAATGAAGTCATTGTTATTAGTTAAGAAACCGTTAAAAAGATGTTACATGGAATAGTGAACTATCCAGAAGACAGAATAAGGTTAAGAGTAAAGGGAAAACCTCAGTGGACTAAAATATTTCTACTGTGGTCCAGTTCAGAAATGCAAATAAAACTGAAAGTAGTGCTTTGAGTTGCATTAATTTACTTTATTTGAAACTTATGCACAGTGATCAAAAAGTCAAGGAATCCATTTCGGACACATGTTCTATTTGCAAAAAAGTAAATTAGAATGAAATCAGAAAACAAAAACAATTTAATAGTAAGTGATGGAAATAGCTACAGCATTCAGCAGTGCATGCATTGACTCTTTTTCTCATGTTTGATATAATGGAACACTTTCTGTCCTACAAACTTTCTGCATCATGAAAACAGTTTACCTGAAAAGATACTGTCAATCTGTTTGGTATAGCAGAATCAGGAAATGTATCCCTAAACACATTCTGGCACGTTAAGTAGGAATAAGATTCCGGAAAGTATTTGACAATGAACACTTACTGCACTTGTGAAAAAGACACACTTGCACTTTGACTGCTGAGAGACAACTGACAGAGTTACAACACATGTGACCTGCATGGGCTATTATATAATTACAGCAAAATAGTGTGTTTATTGATCCAATCAAAATGTACTGAACTGTAACAATCAATAAATATTTTATAAAGAATTTATAATTAAAAGTTGACACACAGACTACATGTCATAAAAAAGTGTAATTATTACTGAAGAACCAGCACCACAGAAAAACGTGGCATTGAACCCAATTAATTTATCCAACTGAATATTAATTCAAGAACAATATAAATACTTTTTCATCAATGGAAAATATATTCTTATGGGGAAAATTAACTGATCTATATCAGAAGAATAAACTTCTTTCCAGAATTAGGAAATACCAGTATAAATTAAGAACTGAAATTCACATAAGATTACTGTTTTCAGAGATGATGTGCATGTAGTCTGGTAAAAATTTATGTTTCAGAAGTGGTTACTGCCTTCATCATCCGGAGACAGTAAACACCTCTGAAATGTTATCAATTTCTGCCAGACCAGATGGCATAACACCCCAGAAGACAGTCATCTAAATACTCATCATCATGAGAACCCAAAATCTGACATTCTGAAACTTCAGTCCTCTGCTTTTTCTCATATATATATCAATGATTTACTGCCAACCATTAACTATCAGTCTAAACCCATACCTTTTGCAGATAACATTAATATTATTATTATTTCACATTCAGAAATTGTTTCCAGATTTGCATGACAGATGTCTTTGCTAGCTTGAGCAAATGAATTAAAGCCAATAAATCCGCAATAAATTCTGACAAAGCAAATGTCATGAAAATTTCGTACTACAACAAAAATTATATTAATACATGTATAGGGAATGAGAATAAAAATAACTGAAGGAAAAAAGACAACAAAATTTCTTGGTCTGCAAACTGACAATAACTTCATTTGGGAAACATACATTCAATACATTATGCCTAAACTAAGCATGCTATGAGGGGACTGTCACATCACTGAATGAAAACAGAAACTTTAAAAGTAGTACACTTTGCTTACTTCCATTCAATCATGTCATATGGAATTATTTTCAAGGGAAACTCAAAAGACAGCAATAAAGTATCATTAGAGTAATGGTAGGCACTAAAGGGAGAGTGTCATGTAGGGAATTGTTTAGGAAATTTAATTTATTCCACTATCTTGCAAATTCTTGCTCTCATTATAATCATTTGTAGTGGACAAACAGAAAATTCTCAAACAAACCTAGATATCCACAATATAAGTAAAGATACATATATAACCTTCACAAACTTCACACCTTCACATCCCAAACACTAAATACAGTAAATATCAAAAAGGAGTTTATTACAATGAAATTAAGCTATTCACTAATCTTTGCCCACTATAAAAAGTCTGAATCATGATATAAAGAAGTTTAAGCCAGCACTAAAAGAGTATCTCCTATTTCACTCCTCCTCAACCAAAAATTCTCAGCCATTATAATCACATGTAAGCAACAGTGGTTATGCCTTCTTGTATAATTGTTTTTGTGGTAATACTGCAGCTCACCGTCATAACTATGTAATCTATATCTGCATTATAAACAAGCAATGTATCTGTGCTATGTCATGTACTACACCCTTGGCTTGGGCCTATGAAGGATCTATAAAATGTAAATAAATTCTATTCTATTTACATGACATAGGCTCAAGGAGAATGGGCTACCATGATATAACATTGAATACAAAGACACCTGGTCAATTAAGAAACCAATAAATATGTAATTTTACATAGCTTTATAAATATAACAATATCACAAAATAAGTACATTACACATATTAACATGTGCAAAATTTTAATAAAACCAAATTTGAATGCAAACTTCTGCTAAGACTTCTTATAAACATTTTTTTGCAAGTTCAGCGTGGACAACCAAGCACCCCTAAAATTCTGGTAAACAACTACTAGACTATATGGTACTACATTCCAGAATACAGTCATCTTCAAACTAGTTAGTTGCTGTGGAAAATTATATATAGTCCAGCATAAATTAACCCACTGAGCAGCAGCGGTCTGCAGACCACCAGTTGTGAACACTGTAACAGATCATGTCAAATGAACAAAGTGACATAGACTGTACTTTGCCTTGCTTAGGCAAACAAATCACACTACGTAGATAAGTCAAGATTAGCATTATAAAAAATACATGGATATTCTGTATAGGAAACTCACTTTAAGTCTGTTTTCCTACTCTGCTTAAATTTCATATTACAATGCCATGTAGCTAGAACCAGTCATAATAAATGTGATTTTATATTCACAGCACAAACCACACTAACAGTTATAGTCCATTCTAAGTATTTATTAAGCTTGGTTGGTATGGCAATGGTCACGGAACACCCTAGCGGTATTGGGTGGTGACCATATAATTCAAAATATGAAGGTCAATTACAAAGATCAAAGATGTCAGTGTCTTCACAAATGCTGAATTGGGAGGTATATAATCACCAACATAGATTGGTGCAGAGAAACTGAGAAGTGAGTTCAGGTTCTCCTGTTAACAAGTACAAGTCTTCTGGGTTATTGAACCATGTACTCTAGTAGAAGTTTATTGACATTCAGGAGGTGCTTACTGCCTCAGCCATTCGGGCATTGCCCTGATGACAGAGGCAGTAATCAGCACTTCAAACAGTCATCTTCAATTAGGTAGGTCTTCTCCAGCATATACGAGGTGCGATCGGAAAGTTTCTAGACTGCGCCTATAAAAACCCGTACACTTATCTCAGGTATTAAATTCATCCATCACCCTCGAAGTAGTTCCCCTGGGAGTGAACACAACGATCCCAGCGCCGCTGCCAAGCCTGGAAGCATCCCTGGAAATCTTTCTTTGTCACCCTGTCAAGCACCATCTGCGATTCTGCCTCAATCTCTT